CAGAGCTGCTCCCTCGGGCTTTGCCGGCACCATGCCCCCTGCCTGGCTCCCCCGAGCAAACTGGGAGTACAGGCTGCCCTCCTGGCTCCCAGCACTTCATGTCCCTCTTCGTGTCCTCCATGAAACCACCGTGCCAAGCCCTGCCAGCGGTCTGTGTCAAGGATGTGAACCCCAACAGCGCCCAGGCAGTCCCATTTGCCCCAGCACACTGTGATTTAAAAGGTTTTGCTGCAGAGGGGTTTAGCAGTGAGCTGCAGGGCGTCTGCGGGCCTGTCCCATGGCAGGGCACTTGCGTCGGCACCGGTGGCTGCATGGGGATGGGATTTTGCACCCCTGCCCTCCCAGCCACCCCTGCATCCCAAGGTGAACCTCCCACCCCTTTGCCGGGCGAACACGGAGGGCAACGATGCTGCTGTGGGTGCCGGCCAGTGCCACGGTAAGGATGCTCTACCTCACATGGGGCACCCGGGAGCGAGGCGAAGGGGAGACCTCCCCTCCGTGCCAGGCGCAGCTTTGGCACGTGCGGGTGTCCAGCCCGCAGGACTCGCCCCTCCCTGCCCACCTGCCGTACGCAGGCCCCATACACTCTGCCCAGCCCCGCAGCACGACCTGGTCATGGCTTCCTTAGCATCACCCCTGCTTGGCACATGCCGTACCCCAGTGGCAGCTAGCAGCACCTGCTCTGGGACCCGCTGCCCTGCGGCGGGAGGCGGCGATGGACAGGCAGCGATGTTCGTGTTGGAAATTTCAGCACCCTGCATTGCATCAAGCCTCCCTTGTGCCCGTCAGCTCACTCAGGCATGCAGCAGCCACCAGAGCGTGGTAGTGGGCAGCCAGGCTTGCAAAGAGCCTCAGCGCTGCCCGCTTCATCTCGCCGTCCCTTTGGAGGAGGGTGCCGGGCACCAGCAATACCACTCCACACTCATGGCGAGGACAGTGGTGTCCGAAACGGTGGCTCAGTGCAGCCTGGCAGAGGAGGGAAGGGACTGGGCTGGGATTGCAGCATGTTCCAGGGTCCTGGTGCTTTGTTGTTGGGTCATTGTAAAATAACAATGTACATAACATGGCCGCGTTGGCAAATGGGTGCTCTTGAGTGCAATAAAGCGAGAAGGACTGGCCTGTTTGCCGGCACTGTGGTCCCTGTGGAAAAGATGCACTCAAGCACAGGACAGAGCAGCTTTGTGCTCAGGGAAGGAAATGTCTTCAAATAATGGTTTTACCCCCGTCCGCACTCCATGGGGGAGAAGAAGGTGGCCGGGGCCAGACCCTGAAGCTGGCACCTGGCGGAGGCTCGGTTTGCAAGGTCTGCAGCGAATGCTGGATACGGCAGCTGCGGTTGCAGGGTGCAGTCCGAGCAAAGCACCTTGTGCCGTATGGGACAGCCGCGGTTGGGGGCCTGAGAGGGCTCAGGGCAAGCATTTGGGGTTTTCCATGATTTATTTGGGAGCAGTTCCTTTGTGTCTGCACGGCCAGCACCTAAGGGTGCCGGTTGCAAGGTGCACGGAGCTGTCCGTCATCACTGCAGTGGAGAAGACCAGATGTAGAGGTCTCTGATGGGGTTTTTTTCTACCTCTAGGGCCAGGCCTGGCACCACCCTGGTGCTCCCCAGCCCTTGCCCCCGGAGCAGGCAGCTGCCTGCACATTTCTAGATTGTCCACGCGCAGGACGTGTGGTTGTAGTGGCCGGAGCACTGCATCAGGGAAGGCACGCTCTCCGGCACGC